AACCCGGCCCAGCCCGACGTTTGCCCAGGTTTACACTAGTGCAGAACCGGGCAATAGCACCGGTTCGTAAGGCCCTTTAGTGCCGGTTCCATAACCGGCACTAAAGTGTGGTCACTAAAGGCCCCCCCCCCCTTTAGTACCGGTTCTGCACGAACCGGTGCTAAAGGGAAACCACGTGGCACGAGCCAGCTCCGGGGGCCTGGAGCCCTTTAGTACCGGTTGGTAACACCAACCGGTACTAAAAGGTTTGGGGTTTTTTACTTTTACGATTTCTTTTTCATTTAATTTTGTGTTTCCATTTTAATTCTTTTTCATTTGCTGGTATTTTACGATACTACATATTTTATATATATATATATATATATATATATATATATATATAATTATATATATATATATAATTTCTAGTAGAACCAATCATCGAGTTCAACATGATTGTCATGATATTATAAGCGTTCATATATAACACCACAAAAGCAAATCACTTAAGTTCAGAACGAAGAACACGGACATGAAAGGCCAAGTATTAATTAAGAGCAGCATGAAGAACTAGCTAAATCACTCCTGCTAGCTACTCTCTCTCTGGTAAAATAGCATAGAACATGTATAGCTCTCCTGATTGATCATACTGGAGCATGCCGATGAACCTGTCTCCTAATCGTGGGCTGCGCTTCTCATTACTGCCCCCTAGTACTTCTCTGTGATCATTAACAATTTTCCTCCAATCTTTCACTATTAAGCATTCATCGCTTCTAGAAATCCTGAATGCATTCATGTGCAATGCAGGATATCTTGGCCTTAAGCTAACAATTGACATCTGACCTTTAGTCTCGATCCCCTGAGACACAACTGTCATCGGGAGTCCCTGTTGAAGAACATCGTATAGTACTTAATTAATATACTCAACAATGAAAGTTTTAAAAAAATGTATGCAAAATATGCACTGAGGACAAATAGTAAATATCTTACCATCATTCCTAAATAGATGTGACCGTAGTTCAATACCATCACTATTGGTCGCACGTTTTGAGTACTAACATTTCCAAGTGCAGGAAAAAAATTTGTCTTGACAGTATGAAGATCCTCTAGCCATGAAACATAATGACTTATCTCCTCGCAGTTTAGTTCAGCTCCGGGACAGTAGAAGGTCCTGTCTACCAAGCGTCGGACATATTTGGTTGAATGGAGATAAACTGTCAATAGAAATTAGTTGTCAGTTATTTTTGAAATAAGCAATATCAAAGACAAAAATATATTTGAGAAGAACTCACATAATGATAGAACTGGAGGCGTCTGCACATCGACCCATATGTCTCTATTACCTTCAATATCATCTTCCGGACGAATATCAAAGGTGATAACCATACCAGGCCTTTAGTACCGGTTGGTGGATCCAACCGATACTAAAGGGTGATCTTTAGTACCGGTTGTATCCACCAACCGGTATTAAAGGCCTCGCGCTGCCACCCCAGAGTTTAGTCCCACCTCGCCGGGCGAAGGGCAGCCGCACTGGTTTATAAAACCAGCCGCGGCTACCTCGTTGAACTCCTCTATATAGCAGGCTTGTCTGCCTAAATTCTGCGCGCTGCCCTGTAAGTCTGCTGGGCCTTTAAGGCCTGTAATTGCACGCCCGTGGCCTAGCAGGCCCACAGGGCAGCGTACCAATTTTTTTTATAGTTTTTTTCTTTTCTGCTTTATTTTCTTCTATTTATTTCTGCGTAGTTTTTTGTACAGTTTTTTCTTTTCTGTTATATTTATTTCCTCTATTTATTTCTGAGTAGTTTTTCATCTAGTTTGCCAAAATTCAACATTTTCAGAGTTCATTTTGTAGTGATTTTCAATTTCACGGCCATTTTATATAGTTTTTTTTTCTTTTCAGCTATAGTTCTTTTTCCTGCTATTTTTTCTTTTCTGCAAAACTTGATGGTCAAAGTCTGGAGTTATAACCAAAGTTTTTTAAAAAAAAAGAAATACCGACGTGCAATTAGTTTTTGCCATAACAGAAGAAGTCCGAAGTTGTAATAAGTTATTAAAAATAAAAAAGAGGTGCAATGCTCGTTAATTTGCTTCAAGCCTTTCGGAATAGTGTAAACTGCACTGCGCATAGCTCCGTGCAGTCTACCATATTTCTGAAGGCTTGAAGCTAAGCAACGTGAGCATTGAGCCTCTTCTTCATCGTCTCTGCACTCAGGGCTTATAAACCGCTCCTAGTCCCTCTCTCTTCGCGAGGTGGGACTAAAAAACAGCTTACTAAGAAACTGTAGTACTGGTTCATCCATGAACCGGTACTAAAGGTGCTCGTGGGGCCCCAGCCTTACCTGACACAACCTCATTAGTACCAGTTCGTGGCACGAACCGGTGCTAAAGGTTCACCACGAACCGGTACTAAACAGCTCCTCCCGCCTAGCAGTTGGTGCATACTGAATGCAAAAAATATAAGAGCATTTAGATCATGATCTTATATTTCTTTACAGTCTAAATTGTCAATATGATCTTGTAACATCAAAATACTTTGATCATCAATGATCTTTGTGTGTACAATCTGAATTGTCAATATGAGTCATCAACGATTTATAAACCGATGAAGACTCATATTGCGGCCACAAATTCTACACATAGAGTTCAATGAAGACCAAGTGCTTGTGATAGTTTGAGAAATAACATATTTAAGGTGGTAAAAGGCTTATTAGGGGAGCGAGGTGGGACTAAAAACAGCTTGCCATAACCTCATTAGTACCGGTTCGTGGTATGAACCGGCACTAAATGGTGATGGTGGGGCCATAGCCTGACCGCAGGCTGACACAGCCTCTTTAGTACCGGTTCGTGGCATGAATCGGTACTAAAGGTTCACCACGAACCGGTGCTATTGATCGCCGCCACGAACCGGCACTAATGTACACATTAGTGCCGGCTGAAATTCAAACCGGCACTATTGTGCTTCACATTTGACCCTTTTTCTACTAGTGTTACCCGCATGTGGGTCCTACCTGTCAGTGGCAGATAATGAATAGAAATATAATAAAAAGTTCTGTGCTCAGCAGAGTTTTAATTCAAGACCTCCCTCGCACACATTAGGCGCTATCCGCTACAAAACTTGTCATTAATTGTGGACAATTGAGATAGACTACATTTTTTACCAGAACAATTGATTTGAAGTCAAAATACACATTGTTGGTTGGTTTGAACAAGGTTCTTTTTTGTATTGGTTTTTTTAGGGTGGGACCAGAAAAATCGGTTTCCAGAAATATAAAAAATATCGATATTTTTCAAACAAAATTTTCAACTCAAAATTGTTTTAGACGAATAAAAAAATGTTTAGGGTAACAGTATATCCTCTAACACCCTATGTAGCAAACTTGTCTTTCATTCTAGGGGTCTGCTTGCCTTCTTATCGTTGTGAAGCGACAAATGAAGAGTCCAAACGATTCACTAGTTCCATTGTAATGTGGGAACCGGTGTCTTGCCCAGTTCAGCGCAGACCATTGTCTACCCCTGCCTCGGCTTCACGGATGCGGAGCCCCCAATCCCCTCCCGCTAAATACCCCCCTTTGCCACTCCGATGAGCGACACAACCGGACATATGAAAGATACGGGGGAGGATATACCTCCGGTGCTCACGGCAGTCCGACAAGCGGGCTGCGGGACATGGGGAAGACAATAGGGTCTGCCACGGTTGGCCATACACTAGTATAGTGTATCCATGTCGTGGTAGTGGAACTCCGTGCGACCGGACGTGCACATGTTTTATTTATTTTTGTTACAATATGTCCAAAATGTAATAAATTTCATCTGGTTTATAAGAAATCCCATTTATTTGCATGGGTTTCATCCGGTTTGTTCAGAAGTATTTGAAATGTATGCATGCATCGTTGGATGGCGGCCTCCCGCATCCATTTCCGCGAATTGGTCCCCTGTACGCAGACGGATGCAGAGGAAACTTGCGGGTCTTTTGCCCTATGCTAGATGGGTCCCACAACAAATGACCAGAATAGCCCCGGCCACCAGTTTGACCAGGGCGGGAGAGGAGTGCGTCTCCTCCTCTCCACGCAACAACGCTAGGAGATGGGGGCGGAAGCAACTCCCGCACCTTCTCAAATTTCCCTTTCAAACGGACGTAGCTTCAGTGACTTTATGAAGCCAAGTCTCACTTTACCCCCCTTTATCAGCCGTCCATTAAAAATCCGATGTACTAGATTGACCTATTTTTCCCAATGAAAATTTTAAAGTGTTCAGAGAAAATTGGAAAAACTCTAATAAATCATAAATGTTTTGTTTTGTATTATGGGATTGTTTCAACCAATTTGAATGTATGGTTTGTGATTAAATAGCCCTTTGAGCTCAGATAAGTAGAAAATGTGTATTCACAAGCGATACATCCAAATGGATTGAAATTTTCACAGAATACTAAACGAAACATTCATGATTTATTGGATTTTTTTTCAATTTTTTTGAGCACTTAAAAAATTAATTGAAAATAAGGATCAATTCTGTACGTCGATGTTTAATGGATGGTTGATAGAGGGGGTCTAAGTTACGGTGAGACTTGGCTTCATGAAGTCACTCAAGCTGCGTCCCCTCCGGACGTGTTCTTCCCTGCGCCTTCCCCCTCTTCCTTCCAACCCAAAACCATCCACAAATCACCGCGATTCACCTCACAAATCCCACCAAAACTCACAAGGAAAGGAAGGAAGGGAACCCACCCCAAAATCCACGCACAATCAAGCTCACACGAGTCGTCGCCACGCGCTTGCTTACCCAACCCAACCGCGTCTCCAATCCCCGCCTGCTGCTACTACTTATATCCCATCCACCCGCCTCGCCGCAAACCATCGATCAATCCAACTAATAACCAATCTAATCTACTCCTCGCCGTCGCCGCCGGAATCCCCTCCCTCCCTCCCGTCCAACAACCGCCGCAGTCAGCACCACCAGCTCTCACCGTCGAGCTCGCCAGGATGGGTTCGGGGAGCCGCGCGGCGTCGTGCCTGTGCTGCCCGTTCAAGTGCCTGGCGTGCGGCCTCTTCAGCTGCCTCTGCAGCATCCTCGTCTCGCTCCTCGTCACCGCCGGCGTCCTGGCCCTCATCCTCTACTTCCTCTTCCGCCCGCAGATGATCGCCGCCACCGTCGACTCCGCCTCCCTCGCCCAGTTCGCGCTCGGCACCCCGGCCAGCCCGGCGCTGCTCCAGTATAACCTCACGCTCGCCATGACCGTGCGCAACCCCAACAAGCGGGTGGGGCTCTACTACGACAACGTCGAGGCCCTGGCCCTCTTCGACGGCCAGCGCTTCGGGTTCGCGCCCCTCGACCCCTTCTTCCAGGGCCACCAGGCGTCCACGGAGGTGAAGCCGGCGTTCGGCGGCCAGCAGGTGCTGGAGGGGGACGTCACGCAGGCCAACCTCAGGTCGCAGCTGGCGGGAGGCGCGGTGGAGGTGGAGGTGAAGCTCAACGCCAAGCTCCGCGTCAAGGTGTGGGCGTTCAAGGTGCCCGGGCCCCGCGCCAGGATCAGCTGCCCGCTCTCCCTCCCCGCCCCCGCCGCCGCAAACGCCCCCGCGTTCAAGCCCACGGAGTGCAAAGTCTGGTTCTGATTCGATTCTCCACCATTGGGGAACCTGATCTGATCCGTTCTCTCGATTCGATTCCTTGGTGCGTAGGTTGGTTGCGCGATGCTCTTGCTGATGTGCGTCGCCCGCCGTGGTTTATCTTGGTAGTAGAGATTTTCGCATCTACTGCTAGTAGTACTAGTTGGATTCGTAGCTATGCACATACTGTCGATTGGTCGATTACTCGTTCGTTTGGTTCTTTGTTAGCGATGTTACCATACCTAGTTACATTGGGGTTCTACTATTCGAACCGTGTTGATATATGCATCGATATTCAGATTTCTTTCATTCAGACTCTGCTGTTGCATTGTATATGTCTCTATTGATGTGTTCATTCATACTTGTTGGTTCATGGCGACCCTCTTGTTGTGGTGAATGAAGTGAGGTGCGACCAAATTATGGTGTGTGGTGACCAAATCCACACGGCAGTCGATAGTAGGAAGCACGATTTCGCACGAAAAGCTATCCAGCATTTTTTCACCTGTTTTGTTTTCAGGGCCGATGAGTCGCTTTGTAGTACCGTTGTACGGTGGTGATGTGGATTGCTGAATCCTGCCGGCTGCCAGCACGTGGTTTTGTTGTTCAGTTGCGCGTGGGTGTCCAGCAGCCACCACGCCGAGACAAGAGGCAGCTGACGGAAGCGTCCAAGTCGAGGAGCCAGGTCAACGAAAGAGCCGTGCGTGGATCTATCTACTCCTATTTAAACTAGTAAGTTTGCACGTGCAAACGCACGTCTCCACTAATATTACAAACATATGAGACAATTAAAATGCACAGAAAGAATTTTGTTTGCACCAGGTATTGATTCAAGTTGATTGATCAGGGCAGAGCATTGCATTGACAATACCCAACATCAAGTTGTCAATTGGGTAAATGCAAGAGAGCATAATACTTGGTGCAACACTTGAATATACATACAACTAATACTGGTGGAAAGCTCACATACACGAAGCGCAGAGCTTCGCCAGATAAACTTCCACGTGAAAATATGGCAACCCACAATTGTGATATCTCAACATATCACATTACAGACATGTAACACAGCAGTCTAAGAAACACTTTTAATTACACTAACATTTGGGGTATTTGAGATACTTGTCATGAATAATTTCTCACATCAACATCATTGCAACTTAGCACAATTCATTTTCTTTTCTGCACAAGGTCAATCTTATTTCTTCTAACCTGTCTGCTCTATGGATCTTGGAGCTGCAGGCAGATGGACACATCTCAGTTCAGAGCATGTTTGTAAGCAAAATTATACCTAACGATATAATCTACACAAAACTAATGCTCAGGCATAAATACTAAAAAATCAATGGATTAGCAGTTGATGGTGAAAGTACATTACAAGTTGAAGTTTCTGGTTCCAACAAATCCCAGCTATTGGTTTCCGTCAGCTCGTATTAACCAAGGTTTGTGCTTCACTTATGGAGGTCGCCAGTAGAAACTATTTGTGCGTACAAGTGTTTTTCAAGCTATAACATTTTAACTTAGGTTCCATTTTCATCCATCACTACACATTTTAATTTTGGTGTGCAGGAAAAAAATACCTTGATGACGATGCTCGGTACAGAAGAAGTCATCATCATCTAGGTTGGCATTGACATGCTGTTCATCAAAATCCATGAAAAGCATGGGTGCTCCATCTCCATATCCATGATGTTCTCTCGTAGAGTTACTTCTTCATACCTGCAAGAAGCAACACTTTTAGATAAAAATGATATTGCTTTCCTATTCTTATGACATATCATTCTCCATCAAACCATTTTGTACCCATTCTATGCTAGTTTTACAGATGTAAAGTGAAAAGGTGTATGAAAGATCTAACAAACAGAGTCAAACTTTTGAATATAACTTGACAACAATGGTACAGTAGCAAGATATTAAATATCGCATTTGGAGTGCTAACCAACTCCAAAAGGCAAGCAAGTCTGCCCGTTAAACATGACAGAATGTTAAGAAATGTTAATAGTTTTGGAAGGTGTTAAAATCCCCTCCGAACATACATTAAGCACACAGTTAATTAATCTCACCAATTAGCCCCTAGAAATCTGTACCGCTTTGTCCTCACGAACATTCCACCTGTGCAACCGCCGCACTATCGCTCCTCTGCCCCGTGCTGCGTCCCAGGCCTCCGCTCCTCTGCTCCGTGCTCCTAGAAACTATCAAAAGAATGAGAACTTGGCATAATATGGTTGAAACATATATAGTTGAGATTTTATTGGGCTACATTTTTGTGTGAATGCAAATTAAAGGAGATCTAACATATTTATGGGAATGTTCGATCTTTTTTGCAACTGCAACTAAATAAACAAATTAAAACTAATGCATTTAGAGGAATATTTAATCTTTTTAGCCAATCCAATTAAAGCACATCATATCCAAATAGGAAGCACCCTAAAAAATATACTATACAGAACCATCACATGAAAATCTCTAACTTGAGCTGAAAGGTCTAATGTCATGTGTACCAAGCAGAACCTTTATTTTCCAAGCAGAGAGGCTGCAGGGTGCCTTATATGCATTCAACAAAAGAACAGTAGAAGATTTGTCTCAATAGGAAATATTTATCACCAATAGATCTTTTATTGGAGGGGTAAAAATTCTTAATACAGTGGGATACTCTGGAGCACTCCTGTCCATATACTTACGCTAAACTTGTAGCATGTAACACTCATGCAGTACTGTCCATTAGCAAGTATTGTTCTCTTTAAACTTTTCTTATGCTAAAAAATAGATGATTGTAGTTTTGCACAATGCACTGCTTATCCTATATTCAGGTTCTTCTTGCGTGTGATGACCCAGTTACCTACAGGGCTGGTATGGATTACTAACAGGGTGACATAGTTAACTGCAGAATCATATTTTACTTTACTAAGTCTAATTGACCAGTACACAATTAGCACTCACAGAAATCTATGGTGTTTCACCCAATAGAAAGAATTTTTTAGGGCTATCAATTAAAAGTGGTTAAGATATAAACGCTCTTATATTTCTTTACAGAGGGAGTATTTTATAAAGTTAACATACATTAGAACTATTGAAAATTGTTAGAATTCAAAGGCATTGTTCTTAATTTCACTGTGCAGAACTATTGTAGATGCCATTATTTTGTCAAACTGATTAAGGTTTCTCAGCTATATCTAAATAATTTAATTCTGTCATCTGCAAATTTCTGTTACAGAAAGTTGCAGCATATTTGGACAACCATGTACTGTATTTTGTAGATGAAGAGAAAAAAGAAGCTCTAGCTCATGGGAAAGGATTTCGTTGAGCGCATCAACACATGGCTTCATGGGCCTAATGGGGCAAAAATGAATTGAGTTTTGAATCATTTAATCAAATGATTATTAAGGCTGCTAAATGAATCCTCAATGTACATCCTTCAATACAAAATGATAATCATACATGGCAAGAACAAACACAAGTAACATGGAAGATAAAAAACTTTTTGGTTTCACTCATTTTCAGTTTAACAGTGCAGTATTGCGGAGTGCAGACTATGCACATCAAGCCTAAAATAAATCCTATTACCATCATTTCACCACCACACATTTTTCAAAAGGATTAAAAGAAGCATCTTTTGCATACGACAATTGTAAGCTAGATATTCAGATCTAAGAAGAGTTGCAAAATTCTCCCACTATAGTTATCCTTCCTAGCAACAAGTGACAAACAAATACTTTATAGGAATCACATTTTCAGGGGAAGCCGGCGGTCTGGTCTCCGTACGAGGCCTGGCATGGGCGGAAGCCGGCGGTCTCTATTTTGCGGGTCTTTGGCTGCCTTGCGTTCGCCAAGGAGCTCGGCCACATCGGCAAGCTCGACGACAGGAGCACTCCGGGAGTCTTCATCGGCTGCGCGGAGGGCTCAAAGGCCTACCGCATCCTCGACCCAAAGACACGACGTGTGCGCACAGCGCGAGACGTCGTGTTCAACGAAGGGCGAGGGTGGCAATGGGACAAGGCGGTGGACGACGGCTCGACGCCGACGTATGACGACTTCATTGTCGAGTACGCCTACTTCAAGGAAGCTGGGGGAGCAAGCAGCTCCTCTTCGCCGGGCATGTCTACCCCGGCCCCCAAAACTACATCGACTCCGGCGCCTGCTACGCCGACGACACCACAACCGGCGACGCCGCATACTCCAGCCCCGGTGGTCACCACTCCGTGCTCATCTTCATCAGCACCAGCTCACGCAGAGCACAAACCGATGAAGTTCGCTTCCCCGCTCACTCACGATGAGGAGCGTATCGACACGTGGCATGACGGCGAACCGCTGCGGTACCGTACGATGGATAATCTGCCCGGCGACCAGCCGGTGCCGGGACTGGTGCCACGTGACCTGGAGGCACAGCTACAGCTCGTGTGTGAAGACGGTGAACCACGGTCCTTTGCAGAGGCCAAGAGAGACGCGGCATGGCGCGCCGCGATGCAGTTGGAGATGGATGCGGTCGAGCAAAACCGCACCTGGGAGCTCGCTGATCTCCCTCATGGTCATCGCGCAATCACCCTTAAGTGGGTGTTCAAGCTGAAGAGGGATGGAGCCGGCGCCATCATCAAGCACAAGGCTCGCTTGGTGGCCCGAGGCTTCTTGCAGCAGGAAGGAGTCAACTTCGACGACACTTTCGCTCCCGTGGCACGGATGGAGTCCGTGTGACTTCTCCTTGCGTTGGCTGCCCAGGAGGGCTGGCGTGTCCACCACATGGATATCTAGTCGACATTCCTCAACGGCGACTTGAAGGAGGAAGTCTACATGCATAAGCCACCGGGTTTTGCGATCCCCGGCCAGGAGGGCAAGGTACTCCGCCTGCGCAAGGCTCTCTATGGTCTACGACGGGCACCTAGGGCGTGGAACGCCAAGCTGGATTCCACGCTGAAGAAGATGGGCTTCGAGCAAAGCCCGCATGAGGCGGCCATCTACCGACGGGGCAGTGGAGGAAATGCCCTGCTGGTGGGCGTCTATGTTGACGACTTGGTGAT